TGACAGTAATTTGAAGTGCGAGCTTTCAACTCATGGAACCGAGCAACTATTAAGACGAGCTCGTGAGTTAAGATTGCGGAGCTTAGCCCAATGAATAAGATCGGCTTTACAGTGACGCAATTTCTGAGCCCATTGAAATTGATAAGAACCAGCAATCGGAGTAGACCAAGCCAAATCAACAATTTGCCTACAATCGTCCAACAATGTCCATCGAGCATCAAAGTGAAATTGCCGTTTCCGAGGCCAAACCACAGGCAAAATTTGAAGAAGTAAGGCATAGTGATCAGATCCCACCATAGAAAGATGAAATAATTGAGCCCGAGGAAAAGCCGATAGCCAATCCATAGTCGCCAAAGCGCGATCCAATCGTTCCTGTATATTAGCTAACCCATCGCGCTGATTAGACCAGGTCAAAGAAAAACCCACATAACCAATAACCAACAAAGCACAACAATCAAGCAGAGTACGAAAGGAACGAAGCTGCCACCCTTGCTTAACTTCCCCCCCATGTTTCTCAGAACTATGTAAAATATTATTAAAATCACCAATGAGGACACACCTACCCGACCAATAACGTGCACTGTTAATAAAATATTTCCATTGCACAGCTCTTTTCCTATCCACAGTATTAGCATATAGAAGGGAAAAATACCAAGGTGACTATTTAGGGGGTAGAACAACAACAGTAATAGAAAAACAGTTTTTATCGACCACCCTTCACTGAACATTATCATTCCACCAAAGGCCAAGACCACCCGCAAGCCCAACAGGCTCCACCAAACAACCATGAGGAAAACCCAACATTTTTTGAACAAGCACTGTCCGCTTCCAATTTTTTGTTTCAATAACACCAAAAATATTGGGGGAATATTGAGATTGTAAACGTTTAATTTGCTAAATCGTAGAAACAGACCCCAGACCTTGACAATTCCAAGCAATAATATTGGGAAAATCATTATGGCAATCAGAGAAACAGAAAGGTGGAGCTGCAAAATGGGAAGGAAAAGAACAAGCAGAAGCAAGCAACCAATTGGAACAAGCATCAGATTGATGCCTGAAAAGTGAACCCCGGCCGGATGTCATAACTCTTGGCCCAACACTGAAGATAGCAGACAACAGAATTCCGGCCTTGCAAATGGACTGGAAGCCAACAACAAAATATAATGCAGAACCTGTAAGGCCTAACGGACAGAAGCCCAATCCACCAAACAACCGGCCCACAAACAAATACAACACCAAATAGATGGGCCACAACGCATCACGAAGCCACACTTGCAACCATAGAAGCAGCACCACCAACCCACCAACGCCAGAACTGAAAGCAACGACGGAACTACCAGCGTTGGAACCACAACCAATCACAAGTAAAACAAACAACCAACCAAACCCCCAGTGCAATCAACAGCACCCAAATCGTCCCCAAATAACGCAGAACACTGATCAAAGCCGCGTAACAACAAAAAGTGCCAAGCCCAACACCAAGAATCAACAAGAATCACCGGAAAGTAAAGCACCGAGCATAGAGCAAAAGAAGCAATCATCTCCACCCCAAGCCCAACGGGACGAGGTACAACAGCAATCAAGAACCCAACAAGCACACAACCCACAAAATAACAGGACACCGGAAGCTCCCCAATCCTGAAAAAACAGGAAACCTCTACACAGAGAGGAAGTCTAGATAGAAGATTTGCTTCAAGGTGGACTGAAGGCATCTAAGTAGCTAGCAATCTTCTGCTTACTTTATTTATTTTCTATTAATTGGAAACAGTTACTATATAATGATTAATGTCCAACTCCAATGCAGACTTTTTTATTTTTAATTTTTAATGGAGAAGACAAATTCTGACTGGGATTGGATCATGTTCAAGATATTTCGATATACTATCTTGAATGATTGTATAGTAGTGGGTTATCTGCAGCCACAATAGTTTATTCTATTTTATGAATAAGGATGCAGATTAAGTATAAGCTTAATCACGTTTTTATTTGTAAACAAGGTATTTGTCTACCATTTACCTTTTTACTTATTAAAAACATGGCACAACAGGTTATTTTGGGCACTCCCTTTTTAGCCTTGATTATGCCAATTGAGAAAATTGATTCTTATGGTATATGTTCAACTCTACAGATAGCATTTGAGTTTTTGACCAAACCCGTGAATAAGCATATCAATGCTCTTAAAGATAACATTATCTTTAAAGAAAAGTAACTGAATTATTTGCAAAAGGAAGTCTTTTCCTTAGCAATCAGTCAAAGATTGGTACATCCCACTGAGCAACAGAAAATTGAGTTAATACGACAAAGTTTTCTAAAGGATATCTGCAATGATGTTCCTAATGTTTTTTGGGACAGAAAGAAGCATATTGTTTCTTTGCCTTATGAAAAAGGATTTACCGATCTGATGATCCCTTCCAAAGCTAGTTCCAGCCATATGAAGACTAACTATTTGGAATTGTGCAAAACTAAAATTAGCTCTTTAATAGAAAAGAAGCTAGTTACAGCAAGTTACTCCCCATGGAGTTGCATAGCTTTTTATGTTAATAAAAACTCTGAAAAAGAACGAGGAGTTCCTCGACTGGTTATTGACTATCGACCACTCAACCTTGCTTTGAGCTGGATTCGATATCCAATTCCAAACATTAAAGATCTGTTAGATAGATTACAATCTACTGTAATATTTTCTAAATTTGATCTTGAATCAAGATATTACTAGGTACAGATTGCAAAAAAGGATCGCTATAAAACTGCTTTTTGTGTACCCTTTGGACAGTATGAATGGACAGTAATGCCCTTTGGTTTAAAAAATGCCCTTCAGAATTTCAACATATTTTGAATGACATTTTAATCCTTATACTGAATTTTCTATTGTTTATATTGATGATATTTTAATATTTTCAAAATCAATAGAACAACATTATAAACATTTGAAAATCTTCAAAGATGTTATTTACCGAAGTGGTTTAGTAGTGTCTGTTCCTAAACTAAAAAATTTCCTCACCCAAGTAAGATTTCTTGGTCATGAAATTTATGATGGAAAAACAAAACCCATTGACAGAAGTATTGAGTTTACCTCTAAATTCCCTGATGAAATTAAGGACAAAACTCAACTGCAAAGATTTCTTGGTAGCTTGAATTATATTCGTAACCATTACAAGAACCTTGCACAGGATACAGCAATTTTATATACACGACTCAGGAAGTCACCTTCCCCTTGGACTGAAGAACATACGAGAGCCGTCCAGAAGATTAAACTTCGTGCTAAACAGATTCCTTGCTTAACCCTAGCAAATTCTTCATGGTTTAAAATTGTTGAGACAGATGCATCCAATATTGCATATGGTGGTATTCTTAAACAAAAGAATCCAGATACAGATACAGAGGAGCTTGTTCGCTTCACTTCAGGAGCTTGGAAAAATGCACAATTAAATTATTCCACTATTAAGAAAGAAATTCTTTCTTTAGTTAATTGCATTTATAAATTCCAAGATGATTTAATCAATCAGAAATTCTTGTTACGCATTGATTGTAGTGCTGCTAAACTAGTACTGGAAAAAGATGTAAAAAAAATAAGTTTCCAAACAGATATTTGCTGGTTGGCAAGTTGATTTATCTGCTTTTGATTTTTCAATTGAATATATTAAAGGCAGTTCTAATTCTTTACCTGATTTCTTAACCCGTGAATTTTTACAGGGTTCATGAATCAACCCCATCATAGACAAGGCCGTGGTAATACCACAAAAGGCCGTGGCAAAGGCAGGGCGAAAGCCAAAGTGGTTATACCACTCACTGATGATCAGTATCCAGCTTTGGAGCATCTCTCTGATTTGCTTCGGACTCCTACTCAAGGAGAAAGCTCACAGAAGAAAACCTTGAAAGAGGTTCTCATAACATAAACCCCTTGGATACCTAATTCAAGGTATCTTCAAATAGTTAGTTCTATTTCTACCTAAGAAGTCTTGAAGTATTGTTTTAATTTAAACAATATAAATGAATATAAATAATTATATTATTAAATTTAATAATTCATCATTTTTATTAAATGAATATAATTTATTTTCTTTGTAGGGCTCACCAAATATTATTTCTTTCTAAATTCATAAAAGTCATACGTCAGTCTTTTTTACTCTTACATTCTTCAATCAATTATCTATTTAACTTAGAATTTTTTTTTTCAATTTTTTTATTTTCCCACCAAGTAACGAGGTGAAAATTGGAAAAATTATTCAAAATAACCAACCGAAAAGAAAAGAATATTTGAAATCCAAACCAATAATAATTGTAGTTGAACAAATTTTTTAATATTATATATCTGGCTATATCCCAGATTCCCAAACTCTCCCTTGCATGCTAGCTAATTGTTGAGATTAATCGAGATACATACAAAACAATGCGATTGCCGTTTGGGCTTCGAAACTAGGGTTATTTAAAATTGGCCTTAGTAATTGCTGTGATAGTGCTTTTCCATTGTTTGGCCCAAAACTTTTTTTTTTTGCAAACCTATTGGGCCTTGTTAATAGTTTCGTATTGGAATTTTTTTGATAAGGTCCATCTTTGGGGTGAGGTTGTCGCTGAGGTTATTGCAAAAGGCCCATTTACTACCGTTGTTGGATCCTATGGTAGAAGAAAATGCTCATCATTTAGCAAATTGGGCTCTAAAGAATAAATTAAAGTTCATTGAGATTAATATCATAAACAAACATAATAAATCAAATCAAATCAAATCTTGTTATGGCTAGTATTGGCTACACATAATACTTAATTGTCGAGGTGGACAAATACTTGAGATGAGTCACAGTTGTCAGAGGTGAACAAATATTTTGGGATAAGTATTTTAAACTGGGAGAAGTAGTTATTAAACATGCCAAATTTTAAATTGAAAAATATCAATCGTAGAAGAATTCTAAACGTCAAACTTAATGAGTATGTATATAAAATATTACATTTAAGAAAAATAAATAAATAAAGGACGCACATTAAGCAATATAGATTATAGGGCTAGTTTATGGGACCGGTTGAAACCAACGATAATATACAGCTCGTTGCATATGATTTTGAGATGGATGTAATGGCTTTATGTTGCGTGTTGCCAAATCATACACTCCGAAATCTTTCATCCTTGTATTTGTATCTTCAATGAAATAGATTGAATTGGGTGTATATTCAGGATTATATCTAACTGAAACGAATTTCGAATCATTAGTAGTCAAGAATAGAGCTCGATGACCCAAATTACTCACCTCTTCCCATTTACCATTACTCCAATTTAACTTAAAAATCTCAAACGACTTGGTTTTGGTTCTGCATATATGATGTTCATAAATCCTCACAACCATCAACAATTCACCAGACCACGACCCCTCCACCAAGTACCTGTATTGGTTGACATTACAAGTACCATTGCATACCTCTTCCTCCTTGTAATTAGAATAAGATTTATCCAACAAGAAACGTCGGAGCACACCAAGCTCATCAATCGAGTAGAAGTTACCATGGTAAAATATGACGGAAACCCATTCATGATGATTACTAGCGAAAACAGGCGTCCATTTCCTGTCACCAAGTTTATAAACAGCAATCTGATTCGGGGTATATAAGTAGACCATGCAAGTTGGATCAGTTGGAATGGATGATATGATGAATCTAAGCACATCTGGATTAGTGACCATTTTTAATTCCGGCGGCGGTGGAAGATGGACAACCATTCTTGAAAGAGGATTGAAGAGATATAGTGAACTCTCATAATAAGGATACAATAGTAGCCATCCACGACAGGGAGCAATACATCTAGTCCTTTTGGGAACTGCACCACCACCACCACCATTGCCGGAATCAGCCTCCTCCTCGATGCCTTCGTCGTCTGCCATCCAGTGCTTCTCCATGGACTTTACCAAATCAGGAGAAGTCCTATTGAATATCACACCATCCTTGTACGACAACCTCTTCATGTTGGGTGAACGGAGCCTATACTTGGTGGTGGTGTTTTTACCAAGACACAAGAGTTTGGCGGGAGAATTGCATAGGTCAAGCCTATTTTAGAGGAGTAGTAACGGAGTAGTAGAAGTAACGCCGAGTGATACCACGTTCAGTACAGCAGATCGCCATGAATGACATACACCGCGACATCGTAGAAGATCGAAGGTTGTGGTGACATGTGCCATGATCAACTCCACCAGTTCTTGTGGAAGGTCGGACCAAGGGACTACTGGATTAATATTATTAGCCATGTCCATGCGGGGTGCTCAATCCTACCAGCCGAGGAATATCGTACAAAAGAAGAAAATTAAGATGAGCAAATTATAAAAAAAAAACAGTAAATTATGGTTTCAAGTCCATGAAGAAATCAACCCTAGTTATATAGAGCAATATTTGGAAATCCTAATTCCTCTACTTTTCTTTCCCATTTTTTTCCCTAATCCGGATAGAATTCCACTTTCTACGTATTTTAGTTTAATAATTGTTTGTTAATAACCGACCTTTTGGAATTTAATGTCCTTTATTGACATGCCTACCCTTATTAAACTTTTTTTTTTTTTTTCTCTCCTCCCTCTCCTCCTACGATGCCCCCAGCTGTGTTTTACCAAGGCACTCCAAACTGAAAAAAAAAAAAAAAAAAACCCTCTCTTCAGTACTCTTCATTTTTACCAGTGTGTCAGTGTTCATAAGCTATATGTTCTATTCTATTAAGATGGCATAGAATTTTGGCACTTGAATTTACTTTTGATTAACCAAGTTTAAGAAACATTCAAATAAAAAAGGATTTTAAGATATTATCAATCCCTTATTCAAGGAAGCAGCAAAGTTAAAAAAGAATGACAACGGTAGGAAATTGGTGCTTTTGTTCCATTCAAAAATATAACTTTTGAAGCTAAAAACCGATCTTGAAACAAAATCTACAGGGAAAGATGATTGTTTCCAATTTCACTTCCTTGAAGTTTAAAAAATATAACCAATTTTTCACTGATCAATTGATTACTCGTACCATTTAGTTATTGTATCCTATCATTCCAGTATTGCTGCAAACTCCAATTTGTTACAAACCATTGAAGACTTGTTACCAAATAGCTATTGTATTCTATGCATTGATGCCAACTCCATCATAACACAGATCTCTCAACAAGCCCAAGAGAATTCCTTCATTGGTTGAATCATTGATTATTTTACGAAATCAAAGGATTAAAAAGTTATTCTCTTGGGCTTGTTGAGAGATCTGTGTTATGGATGGAGTTGGCAGCAATGCATAGAATACAATAGTTAAAGATGAACATTTTTTGTGGGACGGAGGGATTATATATGATTGGTATTCATACATCACAAACATTAGTCACACGAGTCAAGACATATATGCTTATAGGAGTAAGGGACCACAGCATCGGTAGCGATTACACGAGACTAAAACTGAACAAAACTAACGCATCAAATGTTGTAGTTAAAACTTTGTACTTTCGAGAATTACATCATCGGTGAGGGAGAGACTCTTACCGTTATCCCAAAGGGATGGACAAGCTGCTCGCCGAGCCCATAGTGCTTGGGATTTGCCGTCGTCTTTCACCGAGCCACTGCCACGCCCACCAGACCACCAAATTGAACCACTCCAATAGCTGGTTCGCCTTTTGCAGAGGCTAGTTATCACCGGAATTGACCTAATCGCCTCAACTGACTTGGGGCGATTTAGAAGATACTAAAATTAAATTAAATATAAATATAAATATAAAGAAAAGTAAAGATAAAAATAAAAAATAAAAAATAAAAATAAAGTGCAGACTAAAGAAAACAAATCTGCTCTAAGCTGAAAAAACTAGTGCACAATGATATTGGATTCTTTTTATTTTTTTAACAGTGTTGGTAAGAAAATAAAATAAAAAATAAAGAAAAAAAAATTTAATAGAAAACACTAAACAAAAACATCAAAAAATTCAAATCCTTATTCTGTAAATTCTTAAAGTTTTTTTTTAAAAAAAGTTTAGAAATATATATAGAGAAAAAAGTTTCAAAAATATATATATATAAGGTAATGTGCACATAACACCCATATATGAGAGTAGTAGCATATACTTTCTTGGGCATTTTCGAAAGAACAAAAGAGCAAAACGAGCATTACAACACTAATTGATGTCAGATTTTTTATTGAGGGGTATTTTTGCACAATTTGAAAACATTAGGGGTGTTTTTTGTACACTTTTTAAAATAAGGGTAAAATTAATATGTAGAGTATACTTTGGGGATATTTCCTGCACTTCGCCCGTGTGATATATGTGTGCATAAACATATGCATATATGTACCTCGTGCAAGGTCAGATGATCCGAGGATGCAATCGAAGATCTAGAAGTATAACAGTTTCCGTCTATGTAATGTAGAAATCAATAGACTTTACTACAAATTCTCCACTACTCTCTTTCTAATGTGTTAGATTTTACTACAAATTTTTATTAATACTGACTCACAATTTTGGTCTTACAGTGCAATAGATTTAAATAGATAATGTAATAATTTTAAATGGACAAGACAATGCTCATATATAAACATTGGTTTTATAATCATTTTTTTTTTAATATATATTATATTGCTTTTTTTTTTTTTTTCTTTTTTTCCTGGCAAAGATAAACAAGACAGCAAAAACCAAAACAACACAAAAACAACTAACACTTCACATCCGCCTCAGCAAAACGCACAACGAAATGAAGAAGAGACAGCAAAAACTAATCCGATCCAAGCCCAGGACGTGAAAGAACAGCTAAAGCATGAGCCACCTTATTACCTTGGCGACGAACATAAGTCAGAGTAGTAGAAGAAAATCACCAAAGATCTCGATTGATATCAAAACAAATAGAAGCAATTTTCGCTGGGCAAGACTCACCACATAACACCCCATCCATAGCAGCTTTGGCATCCGATTCAAACCATAAGCAAGAGAAACCTAATTCAAAAGCGCAAAGGGGAGCACGTTTACATACCATAGATTCCGCCTGCAAAGAGGAAGAAGCGAAAAACGGACAAAAAATAACTGCTTGAAGAATATCACCTTTAAAATCACGGAAACCCAACAACGACTTCCGACAAAATGAAGCATTAAAATTACATTTGACAATACCAGATGGGGGAGGACACCAAGAATCCACTGAAGTGATTGAGGGCCCTGGCTGTAAGGAGGAGCAGAGAAACCGAGCATCTTTGAATTCCCAAAAACTGATTACTGCTTTTTGAGCCACAATCTCCGGTCTCCATAAGATCCCTTCAAAGACTAACCGATTCCTTGCTTTCCAAATGCCCCAAACATAAAAAGAAATCAAACTAAGTACATCCTCAAAGTCCGAAGAGAGCATAGCCCGACGCAGCAGAAAACTCCAGCCAATCCGTAAAGAAAAGAAAGAACGACCTGAAAAATCCAATGCAGCGGAGAAAACTTCCACACCTGAAGGGAATGACCACAACGAGGAAAAATAGGCGAGACAGTACACCTGCGAGCCAACAAAGCAACCCGAATTGGCAAAGCATGACGATAACATTTCTAAAGAAAGTGTTGCACCTTAGATAGAGTACGACACCGCCAAATAGAGGACCAGGCACTAGAATGAAATGGAATCCCAGAAAAATGAGACATTGAAGCAGCCAATTTATAAGCAGACCGCACTGAAAATTTACTCGACAGCTCCGAGCCCAAATGACTATTTCTGGTTTATCCTAACGACTTATGTGAATTTTAAGAATTTCCTGCATCATAAAAGGAGGAAATAATTGAGACAAAACATCCACTTTCCATGAAGACGTATCAGAATCAATCAACTCCGCCGCATACGAGTATGAAACAAGAGCCTGAGTTGGGGAAAATTTTCGTGCAAACGTAAGGACCCAATAATCGTCCCAAATATGCGTTGAAGTGCCATTTCCAATCAATGAGCGTAAGCCCTACCTCAATAAATTTTGAGAAGACCAAATACTACGCCAGCCCAAGGAAGGATTAGAGCCCAAAGAAGCATCCAAAAAGGACGAGTCTGGAAAATACTTAGCCTTAAAAATCTGATACAACAAACCTTGCTTCTGAACCTGAAAATGCCAAGCATGCTTCGCTAAAAGCACTAAATTAAAAGCCTCCAAATCACGAAAGCCAAGGCCACCCGACTTCTTGCTCCGGCAAAGAAGATCCCAATTAAGCCAATGAATTGCCCGATTTTTATCTTTATTACACTACCAAAAGGAACGAATATGTTACATCAAATCTTGACACAATGTAGTGGGAAGCTTAAAAGAAGACATAACATACGTAGGTAAAACACTCAAAATGGCCTTAATTAATACTTCTTTCCCACCCGTGGACAAAGACTTCACCTTCCAAAAAGATAACCTGTCCTAAATTTTAATCAGTAAAAACTGAAACACATCTCTTTTGGAACGACCCAAAATAGCGGGAACACCATGATACCGACCATGCATCCCCTGCATTTGCAAACCCAAGGATCGGTTAATAGAACGACATACTAAACCTGGGGCATTAGTTAATTTAGTTGAGAAAAAAATAGAAGATTTAGAAAAATTGACTTGTTGCCCAGAAGCCCTTTCATAATCTGCCAAAATTTGTTTCAGAAGAAGAACTTCCTCCGAAACTGCAGCACAAAACACAATAGAATCATCAGCAAAAAAAAGATGAAAAATAGACGGAGCACCCCGACAAATACGAATACCAAATAATAACTGAGCTTGTTGAGCTCGCAAAAGAGAAAGAGCTTCAGCACAGATAATAAATCAATAGGGCTATAGAGGATTGCCCTATCTCAAACCCTTAGACGGTTTGAAAAAACCCACCGAACTCCCATTAATCTTTAAAGAGTAAGAAACAGTAGAGATGTAGGATGTGATCATTTGAATCCAGTAAGCATTCAACCCCAAATGAGACAGTATGTGCAATAAAAAATCACACTCAATCCGATCATAAGCTTTACTCATGTTAAG